CCGCGTGCGTCTTCAGTGCGGGGGGGGCCCTGCCTGCTTCCCAGCTTGCGTGCGACGGCCCCCGGAACTCCACTTCAAGTGGGGGCCCTGCCAGCTTCCCGGGTCGCGCCCACGCAGCCGGAACTCCCCGATGCACCCCCCCGCACCGCGCTCGGAACTCCACCTCGGTGGGGGCCCTGCCAGCTTCCCGAGTCGCGTGCGGGCGGGCGGAGAGACTCGCCCAGGACTCTACCTTACCTTGGCTCATCTTGGCTGGATATAGGGGCATATATGGGCCTGGATCATTAGAAAAGAGTTTCTGCAGTATATCAGGTGTTCAATCGTCATACAAGGACTTTCAGGGGGATACTACTCTCAAGTATTTAGGAGTTAGGATTAGAGGGACCCTTGTGGATACAGACCCGCTCAGTAAGGTCCCTTTTAAGAGAGCCATACGTCGGGTTAAGACGGATCCCTTTTAAGGTAAATCGTGAAACGCCGCAGTTGGTCATTCAGAAATCCGGGAACAAACGGCCACAGGCGGGATCTTGCGAGGACAAAGAATTCAATACACCGACAGCCAGACACAACAGAGTGGCCAGTAAGCACAACTATGGCAAAGACGTATAATATAGGGGCCTTAATCATTAGAATATAGGGCTTTGGGGTACAGGGTACTATAGTTATGATAAGGAACCCCCCAATATAGTATAGGTAATTTGTAGGCCCCTGCGTTTACCAGCGCATCACACTGCGCGAAACGGAACCAGCCACGACAGGTGTGGTCAGGATGTGGTCAAGCGACAACAGTGGTTTAGGGTTTAGGGTTTAGGGGCAACACTAACCTGACAAGCGCCGACCGCCAAACACCGCACTGGTGGGTGCCGATAGGTACAACCAAGCACATGCACACACAGAGACGCGCACACACACACACATCCACAAACAAACACACACATACACACGAGGAACAGTTAGAATAACATCAAGACATAGCACATAGTACATGTTTGGTAACTGAAACCCTGAATCCAAAACAACCTCGGTAGATCTTTAGATTTGGATGTAGGAATGCACATGTTGAAATGCAAGCTGCAAAACGAGGTGCGAGATGCAGTAGTTGTCTGAAATACTGTAGGCTTCCGTCTTCGTGCTATCTGAAACATGTTTAGGGTTTAGGGTTTAGGGTTTAGGGTTGCCCTGAAGCCTGCAGCCCTACAGACCCAAAAAACCTGAAATGAAGAGCTCCCAAACCTGACACATGATAAACAAGAGGCTATAAGAGCTCGATCGTTTTATCCTTAAGCCTCATGAATGCCTGTAAAACTCTGTGCAACCCTTACATAGTACTTCAAAACCCTAAGGGCCCATGTGCCCAAATAGTTGATACTTTGGCCGTAAAGTAGTCCCCATATAGGTACTTTGGGACCAAAGTGTATACGATTTGGGCACATGGACCCTTAGGGAAAGGAAGCAAGCTAGGAAGCAAACCCTAAACCCCTAAACCCCTAAACCCCTAAACCCCTAAACCCTAAACCCAAGCTAGGAAGCCGCCTTCGTCCGTGTCGGGGGAGGGCGCGAAAGGCGCCGCCTGGACCTCCGCCTGGACCTCCTGGACCTGGCGAAGAGCTTGCTGGGGGTTTCTTTAGGTTGGTTGGTTGGTTGTTTTAGGGTTTAGGGTTTAGGGTTTAGGGTTCACCTGTAGGTTAGGCTCCTGGGTGCTTGGAGGATCATGGGACTTAGTAACTAGGGTTATAAATAAGGTAACTACAAGTATAACCCCAATTAGGGTACTTATAACCTTACTTACTACGTCCCACGATCCTCCAAGTAGCGTTGCATTCGGGGCTCCCATAAGCGCTCCTATAACGGATCCTTCAAAGGGATCCTGTAAGGGTCTAGAAAGGTTTGGGCTTTAGGGGTTCTTTCCGGTTGCTATCAGGGTTCACTGACATGTGAACAGGGGTATCAATTGGGCGTTCATCGAATTAGTTTGGCAAGGGCTTCAATGATTTTCATGGGTTGGTGTAATATAGGAGCCTTAGTAATTAGAATGAGGTTTTGGGGCCCAGTCTACTATAATTGAAACAAGGAACCCCCCAAAATAGTAGGTAATTATTAAGGCCTCTATGTTAATGTTTACGAGAACGATGGTTTGAAGCTAAAACAGGGGTTTGCTCTGGCTTTTGCAGGGTTGTAGAGCGTTCTGCGACTATGCGGTTTAGGGTTTATCGGTCTGGGGTGCAGGGTCCAGGGTGGTTGGGTGTAGAGCTCACGAGGAGATGACGCAAATGACATCACAAATGGAGCGGAGGGAGCAAGGTAGATTGTCTAGATCGCATCACCAACAACAGCATGAACAAACAAGGCACCGTCACCGACAAAACAACAATGAACATGCGAATGACAACAACTTCTGTAATGGAGCAGTGAAAAACATAAACATGACCATCATCACTGTCATAGCAATCGTCATCACCCGCATTGCTGGACGGTGTGACCCTGATTCTCGACTACGAAAACTGCCGCAGAGGCCTCACAAGTAGACCCTACTCTAGTCTGGCTAAACGGTACCTAAACCCTAAACCCTGAACCCCCTTTCAACCCCGACCACCCCATCAAAACAAAACAACTCGAAGCCCCGGGCACCATCCCGATGCCGGAAAAACCCAAATTTTAGAGGTCTAAAACATTACCTATACTATTTGTTTTTGGGGGTCCCTTAAATTATACTATAGTATAGTATAGTATAGTATACTATTTTTCGGGGGTTCCTTACAACTATAGTATAGTATACTATTTTGGGGGTTCCTTATTATAACTATATTCTAGTATACCCCAAAACCCTATTATAATTATTAAGGCCTCTACATTACCAAAAAGCAACAACATCAGAGATCCAAAGCACTCTCAAACCCTGCAGAAAAGCAACACAAGTCCCAAAGATCAGCCAACACTAAAAGGAAACCTATAGATTGCACTCCGTGCTCATCCTTTTTGGGCAGCCGCTCGTCTCACCCGCAAGGTCTGGCAGCCTGTCAAGCAGATGCACCTGACAGGCGCCAACAGAGAATTCTCCTGGGTGAACGGTTTAGGGTTTAGGGTTTAGGGTTTAGGGTTTAGGGCTTAGGGGGGCCTAAAGTCTTCAAGGAATTCAATGGGTTTTCTAGGAATTTGAAAGCGTTCGTTTAAGATTCCTTTAGCGGTGCTGCTAAGGTCTGTGTAGAAGGGTTCGGGTGGGTTTCAAGGTCTTCGGTTTGGATTTTAGGATTCGGGGTCCGGGGTGTTATGAAGGTTTATATCGTTTCGGAGGGACAGGACATCGACATGCAACCCTGTGTGTCGAAGCCCTACAGGGTAAGGATATCCCTGCAGATGGCTTATACGGCAACAAAGCTTCCCGCAAGTCCTGGTGGCATTCGGGATTCAGGAGCATACCGGCGGATTCCGGAGTACGGCCCCAACCTGTGTACCGGCAGAAGGCTTCCCTCCAAATACTGGTGGGATTGAAAGAATTCGACGCCAAATGGTGGCCAAAGTACAGGAATTCGCAATGATCCTCTGTTGTCTGTAGCAGGACGTGAGCGCCAGAAAATGCACCGGGCCGTAGAGAGAGTCGCTTCCCGGCCAACCTCCCGGCGAGAGCGCCGCCCTAAACCCTAAACCCTAAAGCCCAACCCTAAACCCTAAACCCAGACTACGTAATTCTCTTCATTCGTCGGCTTCGTGTTGGAACTCCTAAGCCCAAAATCCAAAACCACGCTGTTTGGCAGGAAGAGAACTTCAGAGAACCTCACATCTTAGAGCCACGCCCTCCCTGGTATAGGGCCCCAAAAGGATATCCCATACAAATCCCCTTATAACGAAGCCCAATAAGGTAGGGATATCCCTATAAAGCGTTTATGCTTATGTCCTTTTGGGGTTCCTAATTGTAGGTCCCCTTTTTTCATGATTACTTGGAGGATCATGGGCTCATAGTAACTAGGGTTATGAATAAGGTAACTTAAACCTACATAGCTTGAGGGTTTAGGGTTTAGGGGTTTCGGGTTTAGGGGTTTAGGGGTTTAGGGTTTAGGAAAGAGTTATAACCCCAATGAGGGTGCGTATAACCTTAACTTACTATGTCCCATGACTCTCCAAGTAAGGGAGCCTAGTACAAAATGTGCCGGAGGTCGAAGCCGTGGCCGAGTTCGCCCAACAAAGCCGAAGCTTCTCATGGCGGACCCATATTGGGGTCTTAGGGTTTAGGGCTTAGGGTTTTAGGGTTTAGGGTTTAGGGTCTAGTATTGGTAATTCTTTAGGCCCCTATTTTGTAACCACAGCTCCCTTGTAAAAGCACCTGTAAAACCCGTGAACCCTCTTTTATCTCCCGATAAAACCTCATCAACACCTACAAATCCAATATGTAGTCACCCAACATGCTATGAGAACGGTATAGATCCCGAAACGCCCTCCACGAGATGCCATAGAACCCGATGAAAGACAAAACACGGAAGCCTAAACCCTACACCCTATAACCCTAAACCCTAAACCCTAAAACCTAAAGCCTAAACCCTAAGCCCTAAAGCCTAAACCCCAACCCCTATGAAGCCCTGGAGTGCAGCAAACCCTGCCTGCGTGCCCCGTAGGCTTTTCAGCAGCCGTCCCGGACGCAGCCGGATCTTTGTCCAGAAACCGTCCTGGCTTGGAGTTTGCCCAGGCTTCAAACTACAAGGGTGTTACCCTAAACCCTAAACCCTAAACCCTGAACCCTAAACCCTGAACCCTAAACCCTGAATCCTAAACCCTGAACCCTAAACCCAAAGCTTTAAACCCTTAAATTGAAGAGTGTCCATGGGTTTTTCGGGTGTGTGAAAACGGCTTAGGGTTTGATTCCACTCGGGTTTGAGAGTTTAAGGGTGCAAGGTCCAAAGCCCCTGGTCCTTTGTCAGTTCATATAGGCGCCATTATAATTAGAATATAGGTTGATTGAAACTTTGGGTATATGATACTAGATTTGTATATACGAACCCCCAAAAATAGTTATTGTAATTATGTAGGCCCCTACATGACCTTCCTGACGTAGGATCTAGGGATCTAGGGTTTATGTCAGCGCAGGTCACGGGCTTCCGGATGTCTGACAGCCTAGGTCCCCCATCCCTGAAACCGAAACCCCGAAACTCTGAGCGCCCGAACCCCTAAATTCCCGAAATTTCCTAAGTTAAAGGCCCTATCTATCTGCAACTCTAAACCCTAAATATCGTAAACCCTAAACCCCTAAACCCTATACCCGAAACCGTGTATCTTAAACTAAACCCTAAAGCCCTAAACCCGTATACCCTAAACCCCGTATCTTAAGCCCAAAAAACCTTCAAGATCCCTCAAGCCTCAGCCGGACACCTTCAACCTTAAACCCTGAACCCTACTTGGAGGATCATGTCACTTAGTAAGTAAGGTTGTAAGTACCCTAATTGGGCTTATAATTACAGTTACCTTATTTATAACCCTAGTTACTAAGTCCCATGATCCTCCAAGTAGGAACCAAAGGCACTAATCAACCCTAAACCCCAAGCCCTAGTGCAGGGGCCTTAATAATAATCAATTAGAATAGGGTGTTCTGGGCTCCTTTATAGTATAATTAGAATGTTGAACCTCAAAAATAATATCGGTAATGATTTAGGCTTCTGAAGTAAACATCAACAACCTTGAATCTCCAACCTTCCGAGAGAGCCCAATACCCTTAAATTTAGGGGCCTTATTTTTTTGATTCAAGGTATATTCCTTAATCAAGGGCTATTGGGCTCTCTGCGTTGAAGTCTACATCCCCAATTCCCACCGCTCCCACCCCTGTCGCCCAAATCTGCCTCAAAGCGGGTATCGGTCCTTGGCCAGAGGCAGAGAGTACTTGGAGCATCATGGGAATTGGTAACTAGGGGTATAAATAAGGTAACTATAATTATAACCCGAATTAGGGTACTGATAACCGTACTTACTTAGTCGCATGATCCTCCAAGTAATAAGGGAATCTCAGTTGCTCTTTCGAGCTTGTGGATTGGGGTTTAATCTAACCCTAAGGGTCCAAGTACCTAGTAATCAAATACTCTCCCAAATAGCAACCTACTTTACTACTATCCGAAACCTAAGTACCTGATTATTGGGTCCTTTCGACCCGGGTAAGGGCCGGAATACTTAGAACTGACCTGGACTTCCCTCACAGTCTACCGCTCAGCATTTAAGGTTTACCCTAAACCCTAAACCCTAAACCCTAAACCCTAAACCCTAAACCCTAAACCCTGTTAAGCTGACCAGGGTTTCCCTTACTGTGTGAGGTTCCAAGGTTTGGAGTTGGGGCTTTATACTTGGAAGATCACGGGACTTAGTAACTAGGGTTTAGGGTTTAGGGTTTAGGGTTTAGGGTTTAGGGTTTAGGGTTTAGGGATCACGGGACTTAGTAACTAGGGTTATAGATAAGGTATAACTATAATTAGGGGTTTGGGGTTTAGGGTTTAGGGTTTAGGGTTTAGGGGGGTTATAAAGTTATAGATAAGGTAACTATAATTATAACCCCAATTAGGGTACTTAAAACCGTACTTACCGAGTCCCATGAGCCTCCAAGTAGTGTGAAGTCCCGAGCCCGTCGCTGTGCGTAGAAAGTAGACATGTCCGTTCCCGCTTCAGCTGCCCTGGCAAATCCTGAACCCTGGATTCGATATGGAACCCCTATAAAACGCAACAAGACCAAACGCTAAACCCGAAATCCTGAAACCCTAAACCCTAAACCCTAAATCCTAAATCCTGAAACCCTAAACCCTAAACCCTAAACCCTAAACCCTAAATCTCTAAACCCTAAACCCTAAATCCTGAAACCCAATAAACAGCAACTTTGGCTGGGTTTCTGAGGCCATGGCATGCTCTCCAGCGGCGTCCGCTCTACGACCACCTCAGCGTAATAGTGGTTAGCGGTTTAGGGTTTAGGGTTTAGGGTTTAGGGTTTAGGGTTTAGGGTTTGGGGTTTAGAGTGTTTCCCTTCAAGGTGATACGATAAGATTTATCAGAAGGGTTTAGTATAAGGCACTTCGTCCCTAGAACAGGGTTTCGGGTATGTTCTGGTATACCGCAAAGAAACAGGCTTTTCACTTATGGGGACTTCTACAGTAAAGCCGTGTCGGGTTTGGGGTTGAAGGTTCCGGGCAGAACCTGCCCTTTTGAGGTTAGCGAAATTACAAAGGGACTAATATAGGGGCCTTCAGAATTAGAATAGGGTTTTGGGGCCCAATATACTGTAGTTATAATAAGGAACCCCAAATAATATTGGTAATTATTTAGGCCCCTACATTAGAATAGGGACTCTACAAAGCATCATTGGAATCATTGCTAGCTAATCCGACTCCCATCCTAGGGTTTCTATTGCAAGTCTACCCACACTGACACTCACCAATATTCTCACGCAGCTCTTTATAGACTTATGTTGGCCCGATTTAGAATTGCAGGAGATGACTTGTGCTGCTTGCTAACAGCAAGGAAACCTAGCTGAGTGCAGCACCTAGCATCCTGCAGGAGCGCAGTCACTAATATAGGGGCCTTAATAATTAGAATAGGGTTTTGGGGCCCATTATACTAAAAATATGAAAAGGAACCCCCAAAATAGTATTGGCAATGATTTCGGCCCCTACATTAGGCCCGCATAACAGGTTGTTGCGACGTTTCAACATCCTTGTCGTAGCAGTACCCGGGAACTTGAGGGATCAGGGTTTAGGGTTTAGGACTTCAGGGATAAGCAGCGTTGTAACTAGATTGATGGGGGCTGCGGCTGTAGTATATAGGCTATAGGTACTCCAGGTCCAAGTCTCTGTATCTTCCTACTGACTCCCCAGGTCGTTCGGGTAACCCCTTTGCGAAAAGTATAAAACCCTTAGGAAATAACCTGGCGACAATCGTACACTTTAAACAAAACAGCTTACAAAACCCCGGGAAAAAAAAAGCTTCTAAAGGCCGTGTAAGACCCTACAGGGAACCCTTGCCAGAGCATTGCAATATTTTAATTGGGGCCTTAATGATTAGAATAGGATTTTGGGGCCCATTCTACTCTGAATACAGTAAGGAACCCAAAAAATAGTATTGGTAACTATTTAGGCCCCTATGTTAACCCTTTACTTGGAGGATCATGGGACTTAGTAACTTGTGTTATAAATAAGGTAACTCTAACTATAACCCCAGTTAGGGCACTTATAACCTTACTTACTAAGGCCCATGATCATCCAAGGAGTGTGAAGTCCCGAGCCCTAGTATAATTAGAATAAGGAACCCCCAAAATAGTATAGGTAATTATCTAGGCCCCTACATTAAGCCCAAAGTCCTGAACCCTAAGCCCTAGACCCTAAACCCTAAGCCCTAAACCTTGAACCTTAAACCCTAAACCCTAAACCTTAAGCCTGTTCTGCGCTGGGCCCTGGCACCACCAAGCCGCCTGGGCGGACGCTCTTTGCTGCGCGTCGGAGCATGGACCGCCGTTGATCTTTGCTGCCTGGGAGGAGTCAGAGGGTTTTTTGGGTTGAGGGTTTAGGGTTTAGGGTGTAGGGCTTGAGAGGAGTCAGAGGGTTTTTAGGGTTTAGGGTTTAGGGTTTAGGGCCTGCAAGGAGTCAGAGGGTTTTTAGGGTTTAGGGTCTAGGGTTTAGGGCCTGAGAGGAGTCAGAGGGTTTTTAGGGCTCAGGAGTTTTCGGCTCTGGGCTTCTACGGAAAGATTTCTTTGCAAGGCATTCTGGGCCGTTGAAGGTCTTGAGAGGAAGCATGAAAGGCCATGTTCTGTCGAGCTGTGTGAGACTGTGATCTCACAAACCCAGAGACTCCAATATCCCATAATCAAGGAATATACCTTAAATCTTATAAGGATCCTACTATAATTTAAGGTCTATTCCGTAATTAAGAGGTATTGGAGTCTCTGGGAACGGTTATGGCAAGTTTGGGCTTGACGTGGCCAAGGTGTCGTCTTCGCCCTGGGCATTCCTGTAGGAGCACTGGTGTGTCAAATCGTCGGATTGAGCATGGAGGCCTCCCCGAAGCGCCGTCGTGGGTTGCATTTTATATAACGCTGAAACTAAGCGACATCCTGCACAATCGCTCGAGAGGACGATATATCAGTTGTATATCTACACATATGTATGTACGCAGGCATGCATGCATAGATGCATGCATGTCTGCATGTGTGTATGTGTGGGTATGTGGGTATGTGGGCGTGTGTGTATGTGCATGCGTGTGTGTGTGTGTGTGTGGGGGTATAAGTACGTAAGTATGCACGTGTGTATGTACGTGTATGTGTGCACGTATGTGCATGCATGTGAATGCATGTGTATATACTCATGCATGTATGCGCATGTACAGTTATGTACGTGTACGTATGTCTATGTATCTGCATGCATGCACGCATGTATGTATAAACGTATGCATGTATGCATGGCCCCCGTGTACATAAAGCCTAAATCCGCAACCTTATAGAGCCTGTGCAGTATGCAGAGTTCGCGGTCAGAGGGCAGCGTCCTTCTTGCCGAGGTCCGAGCGGAGCGCCCGCAGGACCATCGACAGCAGAGCCGCATCGAAATGCTGTGCAGGAACCTGAAGAAGCAAATTGCTTGGGGCTTTGGGTTTGGAGTTTCTTAGACCCTCCATCTACCCTCTACTAGACCCTAAATACCCCTAATTTGGAACCATATACCCCTATTTGAGGATACTTGGAGGGTCCTGGTCTAGGAGGTGAAATGGATTGATGTTCGAGCGGCAGTTGTGTTCATGGCTGTGGACCAAAGGCCCGGAGGGCCTAGTGCTCCGGTAAAGGTTAAGTCCTACGTTAAGGCATCTACAATAGAACACGAAACACATAAGGCTTCAAGGTTTCGTCCTTGAAGAAAGTCTAAAGGTTTCGCGATGTTCGGCGCTTGGTGTGCGTGTGAAAAGGAAACTAAACATGGCTTGCAAGGAACCACTGCCTTTAAGGGTTCAAGTAACCCACAAGTAACACAAACGAGCCGCATGATCCTTAGCTGGTTAATGAATTCAGGTTTATACTCTTTAAATCATAACTAGAAGCTCTGAGGAAATTCGCAGGAATATTCAAAACTAAGGCGGCATCTGGGAGTCTCGGACTAGGCCTGGCGTCTAGGCTGCCGAGTATTGCGTGCTCTGCAAAGTGGCTTTCAATACCCTATAACCCGAAACATTCTGAACCGGAAGTCTTGCAATGGTAACCCGACCTCCTAAAGCTTGAGTAATACACCATAAACCGGGTCAGTGTTGGCGGTTAGGTATCCTTATATGTATATAGCTTTCCAACTACTACCTCAAGTTGCGGTAATTTTCAACCTACAATATCACTCACGGTCAGGACGTCCACTGATCCACTAACAAACCCTACAACCGCAAAGGCCTAAACCCGTAGTAGGAATGCCATCACAATGTTCCCATCAAGCAGAGCTTACGAAGCTTTGCGCTGTCTTTTTCGGGCCTCTCCCACGCCGCAGCATCTCGGATTGCGAGACAGACGACCAGATCCCAAAGGACCCTAAGTCCTCGTGGGAAGATTGTCATGCTACTTCCCAATTGTATGGAAACCCTACTTGTGTTTCATGTTATAGTATGTATGAAAATACATCTATATATATATATATAGATGTTTATATGTATGTATATGTATGTATGTATATGAACATACGTATCATCTATATGTATATATGTATATATAAATAGGACAAATATATATATATATATGTCTATATCGATATACATCTATAATATGTATCCATAGGTATATGTGGGTCTCTGAGAGACGAGATCAAGTTTCCACCGGTGGGCGTTTTCACTTGCAGCGTCGGATTCTTTGGGACCCAGATCCCGGAACTCTCTCGACCTCCTGTCTGGCTTCCAAGTCCACCTCGCCGGCTTTTTGTAATGTAGGGGCCTTAAGAATTAGGATAGGGTTTTGGTGGTTCCTTATTATAATTATAGTTATCATATACCCCCCCAAACCCTATTCTAATTGTTAAGGCCCCTATATTACATTCAGGGTGTTCTCGTGTTTTTATTTTGGAGTGTCGCCCCTCATCGTAAGGATCCTCGCAATGCGTACAGGAAAGCCCTCTCCCCTCCGTTTCTGAAACTCCCACCTTCGTATAGCGGACATAGTTGGTGAGGCGACCCTTGGGGAAGAGCTTGTGCTTCTGATAGCGCTTTTGAGCACTGTCAACCACCAGTTGAAGAGGAACAGCACCCTGAGCATCACCCTTCTGATCAATGGTCTTCAAGATGTGTCCCCTGATCAGCTCATACTGCTTCAGGTCCATGGTCCAGCCATCCATGCCATGGGGTCGGGTGGCATTGAAGATGTGAACTCGGCCTCTCTGCCGCGCCAACTTGTCCGCCGCCCATGCCTGGGCTTTGAAGTAACCAGGGAGAAAAAATATAGACGTTTATTATATAATCGTTCCTTTAAGGAACAGGTCCCCAAAAAAGTATTAAAGTATGGTACTCCAAAACTTTTATTTCATAATGGTTCCTTTAAGGAACAGGTCCCCCCAAAAAATATTAAAGTATGGTACTCCAAAACTTTTATTTCATAATGGTTCCTTTAAGGAACAGGTTCCCAAAAAAAAGTATTAAAGCAGGGTACTCCAAAGCCCAGATGCCTTTGCGCCCACGAGGCGGGAGTAGGAGCCGGCCGGTTTCGGCTTCTTGGCTTTGGGACTCCCAGGCTTTCCCGAGGCTTTCGCAGCAGGGCGCTTCATGTCCACTGCCCTAACGGTCCAAGTCCGTCATAAGCATCTACTCTCATATATATTAAGCTCAACTGCAACTGCGCGGTGATGTCAAGGCATCCGAGCCAATATTGCAGGGACACAACATCCAAGTTTGGAATTCAAGTCTGGGTCGTCGTTGGCTTTTTAGCTGGCAACGCCCACCTTGAAGGATCAGGGGATTTGGCTAGTGCTAGCAGAGTTTAGGTTTTAGTAGTTCCTTACATTGATGAAAATTTTACGTGCCAGGTAGTTACAGTACTAGCCGTATTTACTAAGTCCTAAACCCTAAACCTTAAAACAAGGAAGAGCGACGAGTCCCCAAATCGAAGCTCTACGCCCAACAAACAACTGCATCTGAAACGCAATAATGTAGGGCTCTTAATAATCAGAATAGGGTTTTGGGGCATATTAGACTATAATTATAATAAGGAACCCCCAAAAAATAGTATAGGTAATTATCTAGGCCCTATATTATCAACATCCTTCCCCAAAAAGCCGATATGTGCCATAATTAACGGAGATCATCTTCTATCATGTCAAGACGTTGTATGGAGGGGTTTCCGGAAATAGGGGGCCCTAGTGTAATACCCTATTTTGTAGGATCCTTATTATAAGGACCCCAAAATAAGGTACCCCTTATTTTCGGAAACTCCCATAAAAGTTTTCGCCAACATATCCATCTAATTAGGAGTGATGGGTATTGGGCTCTCTGCCGTCGCGGGCCACAGTGAAGGGTCGTCAACCAATGCACGACACCTAAGCCCTAAACCCTAAGCCCGAAACCCAAGGCCCTCAGGCCTAAGCCGTAAACCCTAAACCCTATAAACCCTAAAAAGCAGGAAAGGATGTCCCAGGTCACGTCGCCAGACCTTCTAGATATCCCTTAATTACCTAGACCTTCCATGTGGTTTAGGGTTTTGGGCCCCTCTATTGGACCCTAAATGCCCTTAATTTGGGTCCATATACCCCTATTTGAGGATTTGAGGGTACTTGGAGGGTGCCTGTAAGGAAGGTACCTCAAACTGTCGTCGGGTCCCTAATATGACATAAGGTATAATCGTTCATTAGGGGATATCAGAAGGTCTGGGTCTTTCGTTCTCCCTTAGGCTTAGATTTGAGGCTATGCGCTGAGGGTTTAGGGTTTAGGAATTTCGCAGTGTCGGTTTTGGGGCTTAGGGTTTTGGGATGTTGTAGGATTCAGGATTTCCGGTTGCAGAACCCAATAATTCGCACTTGAAGTCACCTATGCCACCCAGGCACTGCACACAGCTTCCGGGGATTGTCGTCGCACGTCCGCACCTCCATTTATTTGACCCTACACCCCTAAACCCTAAACCCTACACCCTACCTTAACCCCCATATTCCTACTGTGCTAGGGCTCCTTATCATGATGTAGGTTTAAGTAAACCCGAAATACCTGTACGTAGCTTGTTTGTTGCAAGGGGCGCCTTAAAGTGACCCTCAAAGCAACGGAACTCTGGTTACCTGCGACTTTGAGGGCTCAGCGAACAGACGGGCCGGCATAAATAGAACTGGGATTTGTTGTTTTTTGGGTGTGATATGTGTGTGTGTATAGCATACATATATATATATATGTCTTATTATGATGATGATGATGATTGTTAATAATTATTATCCTATAATGCTACATGGCCATTATAAGGGAACTCCAAGGGGATTATAGCAAGGGAAGCCTTGTGCACAACCCTGCGTAACTCGATGCAGTGGCCCGGTTGGTTAGATACTGGGTCTAGCGTTGTAAGCAAACGCCTCTAGGTTTAGGGTTTACGGCTTAGGGTTTTTAGGGGCGGAGCACTTTTTTTTTTTCCTAACGTTGGCGGTCCCCGGTTTCCCTTGCTAAGGTTGGCGGTCCCGTTTTGATTAGAACTACTATGCACTGCAGCATTTCCTATTGTTTTGCATCTAGCTATTAGACAACTGCAATGAGCAAGGTGGCCTTTTGAGCTAGGGCTGG